GTGGGGGCAGGGGGGAGAAATGAACCAAGCCTTGTATGCACACATGAATAATAAAAGAAAAATGAAAAAAAAAAAAAATAAATAAATAAATAAAAATAAAATAGGTGTGATAACATTCCCTTCCAAGGTATTGTGAGGCTTGAAGTAAATGTAAAATCCCCTGTACTCACACTTGTACATGACAGAGACTTAATATATTTCTAGTGCTAATGTTAGGAAGAATACAAATCAACATGAGCTAAAAGGCAGTTATGCACCCTGGTTTGATTTTTGAGATTATAATGAATCAAAAGTTTAATTTTCCTGTGATAATTTAGACACTATTCTACCTTAAACTTATAATTATAACCCCTAAAGAGCATTCTCAGAGCAGGCTCAAGAACCCTGAGCATCTGAAATTCCTGCGCATATCATCCGTGCATCATATTTGGCTACCACGAAGGGACCAGCCTTCACCTGAGGTCGGTATAGGTTGTGCCAAACTGGGACAGACTGCCTAGGAATGTGACCGTGAGTGTCCGGTACTCTGGTGGAGTCTGTTTTCCAGGACAGAATCCCCACCATGGCCTAGCTACGGTGGAACTGTCAGGTCGACCTTTTCTCCCTCTCTGTCTGTCTTGTTAAGGAGGGTTTCCTCCTTGGGAAACTGAGGAAAAGGTCCAAGCCCAGTACAGTTGTGCAGCAGGCAATCTGAGGAAACTCAGAGGCCTGGCAGGGGTTTGTACTGCACTGCCAATGCTACGTGGGCAGAACTTGACTTCAGTGCACCAAGGCTTTTGCTTTTTTCCTCTCCTTAAATGCTAAGACTCTCTTTCAAGATCTGACCAGCTTAAGGGGAGGTCCGTCCGAGAACAGCCAGTGGAAAGGAAAGTTTGTCTTCAGGCCACAAGAGGTGTTCTGGCCAGGGCACTCCCCGGTGTCACCCAAAGGCTAGAGACACAACTTTCTGACCCTCCCTGAGGCCCCAAAGTGGGCTAAGTCTTGGACCCCCCCAGCCATGTCTGCGGCAAAAAGACAATCAGATCTCTCATGCTTTCTTCATGGTTTCCGTGGCCCGAGAGTGGAGGTCACCTCTTGCTTCCAGTGCTCCAGTACTGCCTTTGGCAGGATCGACCTGGGACAGCAGGGATGATCAATAATCCCTCATGCATTGAGCCTGGAAACTCTCTTTTTCCTCAACCCTCAGCCTCTCCTTCCCCTTTCCCAGGCAGTTCAGGATGAGTGTCCCCCTCCCCACCTTTGCTGTAAATAGCAGTGAGCTTCTTTCTTCAGGGAGTTTGGGGAAAATCCCTACAGGCATCAGAAAGTGCTAGTCTCCAATTTAGGTTTAACTGTCTTTGTCAAGCATCAGATTAACTGGTTAAACAGGTTCCGCAGCCTGCCCTCAGGAAAAGAAAAAGAACAGATAAAAGGCAAAAACCTCAGGTCTCCGTTTTTTGCCCCTTACCAGAGCAAAAGCCTCCAGATGCTCTCTCTTTCTCTCCTTTCATAGAAAGCATATATGCCTCACAAGATATATAAGGGAACAAAAGTCTACTTCATCAAGAGTCCCCATCCATGCCTCTAAAGCAGTCCTCCTTCTGGCCATGCAAGCCCTCTTGGTTACTTTGATAGAGTTACTTTTTAATTACAAGCGTTCAGCTGATAGAGGAGAACTAGGCCTACCTGGGTCGCAGGGCAAACAGACAAGTCAAAATAGATGAGAGATTGGTCAAAGATCATCTCAGGGGGGTGGGTGCAACTGAGATATCTATTTGTAAATCCTCCATGACTTTACCCACAAGTGGCAGTAGAAGGAGCAAGAGAGAGCAGGACGCCCTCTCCCACTAGTTTCTCCTCATCTGGGGACACTTAGATAAAAGGAGAAACCTCTGTTAAGGTGACCAATTTTCCCTTGTTTCCCTTTTTAGATGGGAAATCAAGCCTCAAGGATCCAGGAAGGATCCCCCCTTGCCTGCTTATTAACTCAAGTTTTACTGCACCCAGGCTTGGCCACAGTATCCTCTGGGAGATGAGGAAAGATGGCTAGAAGGAGGCAGCATTAATTATAATACCATTCTTCAATTAGATATATTCTGTAAAAAGGAGGGAAAGTGGACCGAAGTTCCATACGTTCAATTGTTCTTTTTCCTAAGAGACCACTCAGAATGGCTAAAAAAATGCAGGCTAGATACCCAGACCATGGTAACCCTTTGCAAAAAGCCCCCAAACTCCCTTGAGCAAAAAAACCCATCTAATGCTCCATCAGCTTACCCAGCTTACCCAGCTACCTCACACACTAGACTCTGTCCCACAGGACTAGGACTCTAACCCCTCCAATTAATTCCTAGAGGGGACAGAGCTCATGTTCCTTTTAGAGTGAGTGAACTTAAAGAAATAAAAAAGGATTTAGGAAATTACACAGAAAATCCAGATCAGTACATCTAGGCATTTACAGAAGACAGCCAAAACTTTGAACTGAGCTGGAAAGATGTAATGCTATTGCTATCTCAGACCCTCACTTCTCTGGAGAAACAGCGGTTCTAGATCAGGCAGTCACAGCTGGAGACAATTATCACTTAGATAAAAGCGGCCCTACAGGCCTGTCTCCTACTGGGCCCTCACTGGAGGAGGAGGGGGAGGGAGAAGAAAGACAAAGACATTGGATACCTAGAAGGGTGCCTCAATTCCCAATTCCAACAAGAGATCAGGCAGTGCCTAGGTATGACCCTAAGTGGGACCCTGAAAATGACAAGGATGAATGGAGTCATAACCATTTCATCCACTGCATCCTTGAAGGACTAAGGAGAGCCAAGGTAAAACCTCTTAATTACTCCCAAGTCACAGCTGTACAGCAAGGACCCTTAGAAACTACAGTAGTTTTCCTACAGAGACTTAAGGATGCTTTACAAAAGCATACCAACATTATACCAGAGTCACAGGAAGAGGAAATCATCCTAAAAGATAAATTTCTAACATAGTCAGCACCAGATATCTGTAAAAAGCTTCAGAAATTGGTGGCTGAAGGGAACAGAGATCTGGACCAATTGGTCCCTGTAGCCACTTCTGTATATTATAACAGGGACTTAGAAAAAGAAAGGAAGGACCTGGAAAGGGAAAAGAGAAAGGATAAGCAGCAGGAGGCTCTGATCACAGCACTCAGAGGCTCCCCTGGGGCGAAGTCCAAACCCAAGGACATGCTTTCAATGTGGACAGGCCGGCCATTTTAGGAGGGAGTGCCCCCTGAGAAAGCTACCTCTGGGACCCTGCCCCATTTGTCGGGGGAAAACATTGGAAGGCACACTGTTCCTGGTTCTCAGGGGAACCGAGGTCAGAGCCTCCCACCCAATGACGGGTCCCAGGGGGGCCTCCCATACAGGCTTCTGTAACCACTGTAAAAGCAGAAGAGCCCCAAATTAAGCATGAGGTCGGCCTCCTTATTGATACTGGAGCCAATATCTCAGCTATTCCTTTTGTTAGGACCCGGAATCCTATTCCCCCGAGAGACAGAGAGCCAGGCGTGAATGCAATCTACAAAGCAGAGTTTATTGGGCTGGCTAGCCAGGGTCGAGCTCCCACACGGACACGCAGGACCGGTTAGGAAAAACACGACCCTGAGCCTCTTTAGGGGAAATCTTATATAGACCGCGGTGGCGTGCATATTTTCGTTATCAACATTGGGCAAGCAGGCAGAGCACATCTTGCGCGTACCTCACATCTTGCACGTACTTCACATCTTGCATGTACCCCCCGCTCACATTCCCCACATTCTATATGCCCTAACTGAGCCCTGCCGCATTGCTTATCTTATCTACATGGGGTGTTTGGTACTGGTTTCTCCAACAAGGGGGTTGGGGCCCGCTGAGACCTCCTATTCCTTTCATTCCCCCCTTTTCTTATGGCCTAAATTGAGGAATCATTCTCAAGAGGATGAAGAGCCTGATATTGTTGGCGGAGGACCAGAAGTTGGATAGTATTAATTCGACTTTTGACAAAAGTCATAAGTCGGTTTAGAATCCAGGGTCCTATGGTAACAAGTAATAGGATGATTATTATTGGCCCTGCCAATGCAGATAAAAGGGTAGCCAACCATGGGGACTGGTTAAACAAGACTCGAACCAGCTTTCCCCGGCCTCTTTTTCTCGTTTTCTTTGTTCCAGGCTCTTTCGAAGTTTAGACATGGAGTCACGAACAACTCTGGTATGGTCAGCGTAAAAACAACATTCTTCCCCTAGAGCAACACATAGTCCCCCCTTTTGGAGGAACAACAAGTCCAGACCTCGTCGGTTTTGAAGTACTACCTCAGACAGGGAAGTGAGGGATTTTTCTAGGTGGCTAATGGAGGTTTCTATTCTCTCTATATCTTCGTCTATGGCTGCACGCAGTGAAGACATCCCTTTCTGCTGGGTGGCCAAAGAAGCTATGCCGGTTCCTGCTCCCGCTAACCCTAGGCTGAGTAGGGTAGCAATAGTTACTGTGGAAATAGGTTCTCTCTTTTTCCTTTTTTCAACCATTTTTGTATTCCAGTATGAATATAGACTCTCCTCCGAATGATAGAGGATGCGGGGCAGCACAGTCACTATAACACAGAATTCTTTAGAGCTGTTAAACACCTTAGTTGATAGGCACGGGGTGAGTCCGGACCGCGAGCATAGCCACCACCCATTGTCCTTTGGAATTACCCATTTAATAGCATTTTCCCAGGTAGAACTGGCGTTAATAACAGTACATAAGTCCCGTCTGTTCTTTGGCACTTTTCCTAAGCAGGTTCCTTGGCCGCTTACCTGCTGTATGGTCGGACCTCTCTTACGGTCTCCCCAGGAACATTGAGTAGGGTTTTCCTCAGATGAGGTATCGTGAGTGGTGTTTAGCCCTATTGCCTCATAGAATGGGGGCCTCACATCATAACATAACCAACAGGAGTTAGTCATGTTAGGGTTGGTGTGGTTTAATGTCAGGAAGGCAGCACCCACTAGCTCCCAGAGGGGGTCTTTAGATCCGGTCATGAGACTGGGCCTCACCACCTGACTGTGATGAGGCTGAGGTATGTAAGTCCCAGAGGGGGCCTGAATCCGGCACCGACAAGGACCGGCTCATTGTCGGGAGCAGGTTCTGGTCTCCACCTCTGGAGGGTTTGAGAGCCTGGAGCTGCTGCAGGAACGTCGTGAGCTGCTGCTGCTGCTGCTGCGGCGGCGGCGTCAGGTCCCCCATAGCTGCCTTTTCCCGGAGTGCACACTGCGGGAGCTGGCGGCTGCTGACCAGCTGAAGAAAGTGCTGGTGCTGCAGCTGCTGGTTCAAGGCCACCGCAGCGAGCTCCTGCTGCTTCTTCAGTCGCTCCTGGTCCATGTTCCCCAGCAGTGGGGGTGGAGAGGGTCCAGGGGAAAAGGGCACCCGGCCCCACATCTTGATCACCTCTCCCAGAGGCTGGAAGCCCTCATCACAGCCCCGCTTCACCAGCAGTGACATGGAGAAGTAACCAGCCTGGAACCACTCAGCCATCTCCTGGGTTGTGAAAGGGCCTTGGATCTCCCCCTGTGGGTCCTTGTAGAACCATTTGCGGGCAGCGCCATGGCTGAGGGGGAGGGCAGTGGCAGCTGAGGATTGGCGCAAGCCCTGGGTCTGCATGGCAGCCGTGAACTGCTCCTCCTCCAGGGAGCTGTCCTGCAGGGAGGCCACCAGCTTTTCCGCCTCCTGCTGCAGATGCTTCAAGCCTTCTTCATCCTCCAGATCTCCTGGAGGTCCAGGAGGTGAGCCCAACCCAGGACTCAGTGGGATTTCCCTAGTGTCATCTCCCCTAAGTTTTCCTGTTTATTGAGTTTTCTCCTAATGTCTGGAGCTGCCTGATTAATGAATGAGAGTACCACAGCAGACCGGTGGAGGTCCGCCTCAGGGTCAATAGGGGTGTACTGACAGTATGCCTCATAGAGGCGCTCTAAGAAACCAGCTGGGCTTTTGTTTTCCCTTTGAACAACTGCTTTCACTTTTGCAAAATTGGTGGGCCTTCTAGCGGCCGCTCGGAGACCGGCCATAAGAGTCTGGCGGTAGATCCGAAGACGCTCCCTACCTTCTGCGGTCCCGAAATCCCAATCAGGGCGGCGTAGGGGAAAAGCCTCGTCTATGGCTGGTTGGAGAGTTGTGGGTCTCCCATTATCCCCCAAGACGTTCTTCCTCGCTTCGTTGAGGATGCGCTCTCGTTCCTCCGTCGTAAAAAGAGTATTGAGCAGCTGATGACAGTCATCCCAAGTGGGACGGTGTGTATGCATGATGGACTCCAAGAGATCTATGAGACACTTGGGGTCTTCAGAAAAGGGCGGGTTCTGCGTCCTCCAGTTATATAGATCACTGGAGGAGAAGGGCCAGTACTGAAACTGTTGCCCTCCTCCCGGTCCCCCTTGGCCCACCATCCGGACTGGAAGTGTAGGGACAGTTTCCTCCCCCTGTGTTGATGAGGGGGGCCCGTCTTCCCCCTCCCTTTCCCGGATCCCTCGGGGGCGAAGTCTTCGACCCATTCCTCCTCCTGCTGCCAGTCCTGTTGAGGAGGATGAGGAAATTTCCTCCTCCGGGGCACTGGCTTGGCCAGGGGGAGTCATATATGGAGGCGGCCGATCTTCCTCTGCCCCTGCGAGGGATGGGTAAAGGGGGGAACTCTCTGGTAAGACTGGAGATGGTGAAGGAGATGCCCTAATTTGAGGACCGGTCAAGGTGGGAAGAGGAAGTTTTTCCTCCTCCTTTATGACCAAGGCGGGCGTGACTGGGGTTTTAGCCCCAGGGGCCGAACTGGAGGGGTGGGTCAGAAAAACTGTTAACCAAGGGGGAGGGTTCCTCACCAGATCCTCCCAAACCAAAATGTAAGGAACTTGGTCTGGATGGCCTCGATTGTCTGGCTGAAAAATGACTGCTTTAACCTTAGTGATCATGTCTAGGGAGAGGGAACCTTGAATGGGCCACCCGACTCCAAAGGTGGGCCACTCTGTAGAACAAAAGGTGTCGAACTTACCTTTCTTGATGACCAGACCCGCATTTAAGGCCCTTTCTTTAACTTCTGAAAAGTAAGAAAGGATCAGAGACTTTGGGGTTGTTTGTCCCTGTCCCATTGTGGAAGGAGAATCAAACACCAAGAGAGAGAGAACAAAAAGGGTGAAGACAACAATAATTCCACACACACAAAACACTCTCCAGCACTCGCTCGGACCGGTCCTTCTCTCACACTGGTGCGCACCCCATTCAACCTCCTCACCGTCCAACTGGGATATCAGGCCGAAAGGCGTCCACTTGACGGGTGGTCGGTCGACTAGTTCAATTAGTTCTTCACCTGGCGCCAGGGTTCCTAAAATGCTCGAGCCCAAATGAGAGGAAAGCCTCTCCCAATAGGACCCTGTGGTCCTCTTTGCGAGATTCCCAGAATGAATCTCCCTGGGGATTGGCCGAATCCCCGCCGCGGCCCAAATGGAACACTCAAGTTCCTCCAAATGAGGGTCTGGGATCCCCTCCCAACGCCTAGGACTTGAGATCGCCCCTGCTTTCTCGCAGGCAGGTTCTGTCTCTCGAGAAAATAAAATCTCGGTGGAACCTCCAAATGTTAGGACCCGGAATCCTATTCCCCCGAGAGACAGAGAGCCAGGCATGAATGCAATCTACAAAGCAGAGTTTATTGGGCTGGCTAGCCAGGGTCGAGCTCCCACACGGACACACAGGACCGGTTAGGAAAAACACGACCCTGAGCCTCTTCAGGGGAAATCTTATATAGACCGCGGTGGCGTGCATATTTTTGTTATCAACATTGGGCAAGCAGGCAGAGCACATCTTGCGCGTACCTCACATCTTGCACGTACTTCACATCTTGCATGTACCCCCCGCTCACATTCCCCACATTCTATATGCCCTAACTGAGCCCTGCCACATTGCTTATCTTATCTACATGGGGTGTTTGGTACTGGTTTCTCCAACAAGGGGGTTGGGGCCTGCTGAGACCTCCTATTCCTTTCACTTTCTCTCCCGGACCCAGGTCCTCCAAGAAAATTACTGTTCGAGGCATATCAGGCCAGCCTCTAGAACGTTATTTCACTCAGCTTTTAGCCTGGTCCTGGGGAGATTTCCATTTCTGTCACTCCTATTTAATTGTCCCAGAAACCCCTACTCCTCTGCTAGAGTGAGACCTTCTATCCAAATTGGGGGTACATCTACTTTTACCCCCAGGAGGGTACTTTTGCTTGCCCCTAATAGAGGAACAAGTAGACCCCACGGTGTGGACGGATGGACACACTGTGGGACGGGCACAAACAGCTGCCCCAGTCCTAATTCATCTCAAGGACTCCTCCTGGTTTCCCCATCAAAAACAATATCCTTTAAAGCCAGAAGTTAAGGAGGGGCTAATTCTCATAATCAGAGACTTAAAGAGACAGGGACTGCAAATAGAATGCTCCAGCCCATATAATACTCCTATTCTCGGTGTCAGGAAGGGACCTAACAAATGGAGGCTAGTCCAAGATCTCTGCCTGATCAATGAAGCAGTAGTGACTCCACCCTGTGGTTCCAAATCCCTATATTCTTTTAGCCCAAATACCTCCAGGTACTACTTACTACTCTGTTCTGGATTTAAAAGATGCCATCTTTTGCATTCCCTTACACCCTAAAAGTCAACCTATCTTTGCCTTTGAGGACCCCACAAGAAAGTCTGGACAGGTCACTTGGACTGTCCTCCCGCAGGGATTCAGAGACAGCCCCCACCTGTTTGGGTTAGCTCTAACCCAAGACTTGGCAGAATGGCAATATCCACAAGCTACTCTGCTAAAATATGTACATGACCTCCTGCTCTGTGGACCAAATGAGCCTGTCATTTCATGAGCCACTGAGTCCTTACTAAACTTCTTAGCAGATAGAGGTTATAAGATCTCTAAAGAAAAAGCCCAATTGTGTCAGTCTAGGGTTATATATTTAGGTCTTGTCCTGGAGAAAAAAATGAGGTCTCTAGGAGAAGACAGAATCCATCCAATCCTGACGTTTCCTCTACCTAAAAGTCTAAAACAACTGAGGGCCTTTTTGGGGGTCACAGGATACTGTAGAATTTGGATCCTGGGATATGCAGATCTAGCCAGGCCTTTATATCAAATCCTTAAGGAAGCACAGAAGGATACCCAGCCCTTTATTGAATGGGATGACAAGTCAGAAAATGCATTCCACAGGTTAAAGAAGGCTTTTATGACAGCTCCTGCCCTGGGTCTCCCAGTACAAGACAAGTTTCAATTATATGTCTATGAAAGGGGAGGACTGGCCTTGGGTGTGGTGACTCAGTTCTGGGGCATCACTCCCCAGCCAGGAGGTTATTTAAGCAGAGTTAGATCAGGTAGCCAAGGGATGGCCAGGATGCCTCAGAGCAATGGCTGCAGTAAGCCTGCTAGTGCTTGAAGCTCAGAAACTTATCCTAAGCCGCCCCCTAACGGTTTATACCCCACACGACATAGGGGGAATTTTAAACTCAAAAGGAGAACTTTGGCTATCTGACAGCTGTCTACTTAAATATCAGGCTCAGCTTCTGGGAGAGACAGAAATAACTTTAAGGACCTGTCAGAGCCTAAATCCTACATCCCTTCTACCAGAGGCAGAGGGAAATCCTGAGCACTTGTGTGAGGAGGTACTTATATAAAATTATGCTGCCAGACCTGACTTAACAGATCAGCCCTTAAAAAACCCAGATCTAGAATTATACACTGATGGCAGTTCCTTTGTCAAGAATGGTGTCAGACATACAGGGTTTGCAGTTGTGACAGAATTTGGCACCATCACATCAGGTCCTCTTCCTCCCAATACCAATGCTCAATTGGCAAAATTAGTGGCCCTAACAAAAGCCCTAAGACTGTCAAAAGAACAGAGAGTCAACATCTATACAGATTCTAAGTATGCCTTTCTAATCCTGCATGCTCATGCAGCCATTTGGAAGAAAAGAGAAATGCTAACTACAGCAGGAACATTTTCCCATAGGGATAAAAGGGAGGTTACTTTAATAGTTTTAGGGATAACAGCATTAGTTGCAGCCCTAGCTGGAATCAGCTATGGGGTGATTGCCAATCATGTAACTGCAAAAAACCAAACCAAAGTGGTAGAGGACACCTCAGACCAGGTAGGCCTTACCATTAAGGACATGCAAAGGTCTTTGTCGTCCCTTGCCTGTACGGTAATGGACCACCACCTGGCCCTAGATTTCCTTTTGGCCAAGCAAGGTGGGGTATGTGCCATTGCCAATACCTCCTGTTGCACATATATAAACACTTCAGGCATTGTAGAGGAATGTGCAGACTACATTCTCCAACAGGCTAAATGGCTCCAGGAGCAATCTTTTGAAACTCAGGTTTCTACTCAGATATGGGAACAAATAAAATCCTGGCTCCCCTCCAGGACTTGGTTCCTACACTTTCTGGGGCCTATAGTTGCCATTATTCTCTTGCTTGTGTTTGGGCCTTGCATTTTAAACTTACTTGTCAAGTTTGTTTCTTCTTGCCTAGAATCCATCAAACTACAAATGCCTCTGGTGGAGATGAAAACAACAACCCCTCTCGTGGTCAGCCCTGATGCTGCGGGCCCCTTCATCGTCCCCTGTCCGCAGGAAGCAGTTACTGAATAGACCTCGTGGTCCCTATCCCTAACAGCAGTTAGGGCGACCACTGAGAGAGGGGAACTGAAGGACTGAAGGACAGACTGCAGAAGGTCCCAAAAGTCGATAAGTGATCAAGGAGACACTTTTCCTCCCTAGGAAACGCCTGTTTGCATCTGAAAGGCATCTCCTGCCATCAGGCAATGCAAATAGGCT